TTAGGGAAATTATTGAAGTGCAGAATTCCAATGGAACAGATTAATTGCATTTCAATTACTGCAAATGAGCAAATCCAGATGCGAGCAAGTCACAGAACGGATTAAACTCATGAGTGGAGGTTCCACTGTACTACTGCACTGACACAGAAAAGAGAAAAAACACCAAACAGGCAGTTACCTGATGCTTTTATGGAAGGTGATACCCTTTTCAAACTATAACATCTCTCTATATTCCTCTTAGGCCATCAGCACACCTCAGTAAAGGTAAAGTGCAGTTAAATTTTCATTTATTTCATGTATTTATTGTTGTTTTAGTTTTTATGTATGATTTTTATGCATGCAAACATTATTATACAGGTTTAAATAAGCAATATTTTCACTTAAAATGTTTTATAATTGGTAATTCTCTGGGGTCTGGAACGGATTAATCCAATTAACATACAACTCACTAATCGAACAGCCTCCTAGAACGGATCAAGTTCAAATATTTAGGTACGACTGTTTTACAAACTCTTCTCAGTGAACTGCATATAACTGTTTCTCCTATTTTATTAAGCATTTACTTTATTTCCTATACTGTATTTACTTTCCCTCTTGTGCATATTTACTATACGCATGATTGTATTATACAAGATTGTAGATGGGACAAGAGGAAAATGGCAACAACAAGTAAGAGAGAGGCGAAAGTATATATAAACCAAGGGAGGAGGAAGTTCGGGTGAGATATAAGCAACTATTGGCAGAAAGGTGGGCTAATGCAAGTATGAGTGGGGTTGAAGAGGGTTGGAATAGTTTTAAAAATGTAGTATTAGAATGTGGGGCAGAAGTTTGTGGTTATAGGAGGGTGGGGGCAGGAGGAAAGAGGAGTGATTGGTGGAATGATGAAGTAAAGGGTGTGATAAAGAAGAGAAAAAGGCAGCTTATGAAAGGTTTTCACAAAGTAGACGTGTTATAAGAAGAGTAGAGTATATGGAGAGTAAAAGAAAGTTGAAGAGAGTGGTGAGAGAGTGCAAAAGGAGAGCAGATAATAAAGTTGGAGAAACACTGTCAAGAAATTTTAATGTAAATAAGAAAACATTTTGGAGTGAGTTAAACAAGTTAAGAAAGCCTAGGGAGCAAATGGATTTGTTAGTTAAAAACAGAGTAGGGGAGTTAGTAGATGGGGAGATGGAGGTTTTGGGTAGATGGTGGGAATATTTTGAGGAACTTTTAAATGCTGACGAAGAAAGGGAGGCGGTAATTTCATGCATTGGCCAGGGAGGTATACCATCTTTTAGGAGTGAAGAAGAGCAGGATGTGAGTGTGAGGGAGGTACATGAGGCATTACGTAGAATGAAAGGGGATAAAGCAGTTGGAACTGACAGGATCATGACAGAAATGTTAAAAGCAGGGGGCATATAGTGTTAGAGTGGTTGGTATTTTTGTTTAATAAATGTATGAAAGAGGGGAAGGTACCTAGGGATTGGCAGAGAGCATGTATAGTTCCTTTACATAAAGGGAAGGGGGACAAAAGAGATTGTAAAAATTATAGAGGAATTAGTTTACTGAGTATACCAGGAAAAGTGTATGGTAGGGTTATTATTGAAAGAATTAGAGGTAAGACAGAATGTAGGATTGCAGATGAGCAAGGAGGTTTTAGAGTGGGTAGGGGATGTGTAGTTCAAGTGTTTATATTGAAGCATATATGTGAACAGTCCTAGGTAGTAGGTTGGTAGACAGCAACTGCCCAGGGAGGTACTACCGTCCTGCCAAGTGAGTGTAAAACAAAAGCCTGTAATTGTTTTACATGATGGTAGGATTGCTGGTGTCCTTTTCTCTGTCTCATGAACATGCAAGATTTCAGGTACATCTTGCTACTTCTACTTACACTTAGGTCACACTACACATACATGTACAAGCATATATATACACACCCCTCTGAGTTTTCTTCTATTTTCTTTCTAGTTCTTATTCTTGATTATTTCCTCATATCTCCATGGGGAAATGGAGCAGAATTCTTCCTCCGTAAGCCATGCGTGTTTGCGTGTTGTAAGAGGCAACTAAAATGCCAGGAGCAAGGGGCTAGTAACCTCTTCTCCTGTATATATTACTAAATGTAAAAGGAGAAACTTTCGTTTTTCCTTTTGGGCCACCCTGCCTCGGTGGGATACGGCCGGTGTGTTGAAAGAAAGAAAGATATGTGAACAGTATTTAGATAAAGGTAGGGAAGTTTTCACTGCCTTTATAGATTTAGAAAAGGCATATGATAGAGTGGATAGTGGAGCAATGTGGCAGATGTTGCAAGTATAAGGAATAGGTAATAAGTTACAAAATGCAGTAAAGAGTTTTTATGAGGATAGTGAGGCTCAGGTTAGGGTATGTAGAAGAGAGGGAGACTACTTCCCGATAAAAGTAGGTCTTAGACAGGGATGTGTAATGTCACCATGGTTGTTTAATATATTTATAGATGGGGTTGTAAAAGAAGTAAATGCTAGGGTATACGGGAGAGGGGTGGGATTAAATTATGGGGAATCAAATACAAAATGGGAATTGACACAGTTACTTTTTGCTGATACTCTGCTTATGGGAGATTATTAAGAAAAATTGCAAAGGTTAGTGGACGAGTTTGGGAGAGTGTGTAAAGGTAAAAAGTTGAAAGTGAACACAGAAAAGAATAAAGTGATGGAGGGTATCAAATGATTTAGATAAAGAAAAACTGGATATCACATTGGAGAGGAGGAGTATAGAAGAAGTGAATGTTTTCAGATATTTGGGAGTTGACATGTCAGCAGATGAATTTATGAAAGATGAGGGTAATCATAGAATTGATGAAGGAAAATAGGTGAGTGGTGCATTAAGGTATATGTGGAGACAAAAAACATTATCTATGGAGGCAAAGAAGGGAATGTATGAAAGTATAGTGGTACCAACACTCTTATATGGGTGTGAAGCATGGGTTGTAAATGCTGCAGCAAGGAGATGGTTGGAGGCAGTGGAGATGTCCTGTCTAAGGGCAATGTGTGGTGTAAATATTATGCAGAAAATTTGGAGTGTGGAAATTAGGAGAAAGTGTGTAGTTAATAAAGTATTAGTCAGAGGGCTGAAGAGGGGTTGTTGAGGTGGTTTGGTAATTTACAGAGAATGGATCAAAGTAGAATGACATGGAGAGCATATAAATATGTAGGGGAAGGAAGGTGGGGTAGGGGTCATCCTCAAAAAGGTTGGAGGGAGGGGGTAAAGGAGGTTTTGTGGGTGAGGGGCTTGGACTTCCATAAGCATACAAGCATGTTAGATAGAAATGAATGGAGAGACAAATGGTATTTGGGACCTGACAAGCTGTTGGAGTGAGAGCAGGGGAATATTTAGTTAAGGGATTCAGGGAAACCGGTTATTTTTATATAGCCGGACTTAAGTCCTGGAAATGGGAAGTACAATGCCTGCACTTTAAAGGAGGGGTTTGGGATATTGGCAGTTTGGAGGGATATGTTGTTTATCTTTATATGTATATGCTTCTAAACTGTTGTATTTTGAGCACGTCTGCAAAAACTGTGATTATGTGTGAGTGAGGTGAAAGTGTTGAATGATGATGAAAGTATTTTCTTTTTGGGGATTTTCTTTCCTTTTGGGTCACCCTGCCTCAGTGGGAGATGGCTGACTTGTTAAAAAAAAAAAATGACTGAGTATAAATGGAAAACAGGAATTAATAAAGGGGATGTAAATAGTGTGCTAAAAATATCTAACATAGACAGGACTCGCAGCAATGGCTTTAAATTGGAAAAATTCAGATTCAGGAAGGATATAGGAAAGCAGTGGTTTGGTAACAGAGTTGTGGATGAGTGGAACAAACTCCCGAGTACCGTCATAGAAGCTAAAATTACGTTGCGTTGTTTTAAAAATAGGTTGGATAAATACACGAGTGGGTGTGATTTGGACCTAACTAGTCTGTGCTACTAGGTCGGATGTTGTGCTCCTCCTTTAATTTACATGTCTGACCTCACTAGGTCAGTGAGGTCAGACAGTCTGTGAGCTTAAGGTCACTAGGTCATTGAGCTTAAGGTCACTAGGTCAGTGAGCTTAAGCTGGTAGGAGAATTGGACCTGCCTCACATAGGCCAGTAGGCCGTTTGCAGTGTTCCTTCTTTCTTATGTTCTTATAACAAATAACAAGCAGTGATGAATGTCTTCTGTTTTGCTACAGAGTGTACAACACTTAAAAAATGTAATTTACAGGAAGCAGACCTGTAGGAATACATTCAAGAGTTCAGTACATGAAAACAAAACTCCATGTGTACTTCATTGTAATTTAATAAGGTTATGGGTAGAACATACCATGAAGGGATTCAAGGAAACCGGTTAGCCAGACTCTGAGTCCTGGAGGCAGGAAGTACAGTGCCTGTACTCTGGAGGGATGGGGATATTTGCAGTTTTTAACTGTATTATCAGCATGCCTCTGACAAGATAGTGATACAGTGAGTGGGTGATGGGAGATGGCCAGTGTTAAAAAAATTTTCTTTTCTTTAACAAATTTTGTTCAATTACACAAATAAATGAGTCAGGTATACAGAAAACACTCTGTATATAAGGAAGTAAGTTCTACCACTGCCCTAACATATTTTTTTAAAACACCAGCCATCTCCCACCAAGGAAAGATGGCCCAAAATAAAGGAAACACATTCACCATCATTCATTCAGTAGCTGTCTTGCCAGAAGTGTTCAGAAATTACAATTCAAGTGACTCTCCAAACTGCATCATCCTCAGCCTTCCATCAAAGTGCAGCCATTACTTCCCACTTCCAGAACTTAAGTCTGGCTAACCAGTTTCCCTCAATCACTTCATAAACATTATACTGCTCACACTCCAACAGCATGTCATGCCTAATAATATGTTCTAGTTAAGGAAAGATATTCTTATGTTACATTTTCAATATTGCAAAATAAAATAGCTGTTACTAATTAATTACTCTAATGCAACAGGTATAACTAATTCTTACTCTGTAACAATTTAAAAGAAAAAAATATTACCCATGGCTGTGTTGACCTTCACATTAGAGCGGGTATTGCTGGGTCCTTTAATTAGTAATTGATTGAGGATCTCAGACTGGTTCCGCCCAGAAGGCTGCCAAGGAATCGATGTCTGTAATTTCTTCTCTAAGTCCTTTGGAAGCTTCTCTTGTGGTAGGCCTTGTGGATTTAAATGCTGCGATGGAGGCTGATTCTTTAATGAAAAATTGTAATTAGTGTAAATATTTGTACACTAAGATTACTGATGAAAAATACTGATTGTATGAGGAATAAGTAAAGGCTTTAGACTGTTTTATATATGAAGTACACACAAGAATGCACATATAGGAAACCATTATAATACGAAGTGAAAAGAGTTTAGAGTGAAAAAAAAAAAAAATCTGCCAGATGACAACACAGAATATGAAAATTATCTAAAAGCTAAAGAAATACTTCTGTTGTAAAGGGAATATGGAAAAAATCCAATGAGTGAGACTGATTCAGAAACACCAGACAAAATCTGTAGTTTACAAAATTACCTATTACTGTTATAATCATGGAAAAACAATCTCATCTCTAGTTACTGCAATCACCATTACTGTCTATGCACCCTCCTTTCCCATCAGTCTGTTAAACAAAAGGGTTACTGTATATCTAGATTAAGATTCAATTATATAGGGTTGTAACTGTAAGGTAAGACAGGGGAACTGACCAAGAATTTTGATATTTATATCAGCATTACTACAAGGTGCAAGACCACTACAGGGCAGGTAGTATAGATGCACATTAATTATGATCAGTCTAAATGCAAGTGAAAGCCTTCAGATTTGTGTGATTTTAATTCAAAAACTGCTGATGGTTTTAGTTGAAGTAATCAGAAGAGTGGCTCCATAGTTCACTTTTGGTATCACCTATGATCATAATAATACTCTGCTACATGTTATCATATTTCATGAAAAATAGTCAAATAGTAATAAAAAAACACTTGTAAAAATAAAAAAAATATTTTTCATCACATTTTTGCAGTTTTATATATCCCAATACATTCATAATTTTAATACTAATGACATTTGCTGGTTTCACATGATACATATTGTAAATATATTCTCGAGCAAATATCCAGACACTAATTAATATTTTAATGCTTTAGCAAGTAGATGCAAGAGAAACAGTATCAATTAGAAAATAGTGATTATTGAAGGCGGGCAATAAGTAAAAGATATATGTTCATTATGGTGCTAGCAAAAAAAAAAAAAAAAAAAAAAAAAAGGCACTCTTTGCCATTCTTTATGTCATAGCTAGTAAATCCAGACTAATTTATTTCAGTAATGAACTACACTACTACAAGTTCTGCTTCCCTTAAAAAATTGACAAAAAACTCCATCAAATTTTCACTGTATAGCACATTTCACCGAACTCATCATAGGGGAACTGTACCAGTAAGCAAGTCATCACTGGACCAAGACACAGTGCAGGTGAATTTCCAAGATAAATAAATCAACAGCCTTGTTAGGACCCAGACTATACTTAAGGATAAATAAAATTTCATAAATGTATAATTTCAAGTAATGTATAATATGAAGTTTACTGTGCTGTAAAATTATTATAATCAAAAAGAAGTGCTAAACCTACTGTGCTGTAAAAGAAAAGTCTATGGGAGTAAAATAATTTTATCACTATCTGCCAAAGGATCTATCCTAACACACTTCAATTTCTATGTACACAGTGCTCGTCATTAAAGTACGCTGGCTCCCCTCTCCAACTAGGATCACAAAATAGGTTCTCCCTTGTGCTACAGAACATCCTTCATCTGTATAGGAAGTGATTAACACATGTTCTTCAGGGTTTCATGGAGTAAATACCCACTACTCATGGATGGCAACCTCCAGCCATGGAAATGAACTGTTATCCTTTCCCAAGCAGATCTCTCTATCACATCCCAGAGGTCCTCAATAGGGTTCAAGTCTGGGAAGTTTCCTGGCCAGTCATCAAAGAAGGATACCTCACAGACAGAACAACAGATTTCATGGTGTGACAAGGATAGATTCTTTGGCAGATAGTGATAAAAATTATTTTACTCCCATAGACTTTTCTTGCATATGTATCTTTCCACTGCATGAAAGATTTGGGCAAATGATCACAGAGCAATTTTAGGTACATTATTACAGTTAATGTTAGTGGGATTGTTTTTCTGGGCATCCCTGGATGTGATTTTGGTGTGGTAGTGTCATTAACACTATCCTCAAGGAACCAACACAACCAGGTCCTTCCTGAATGCTCACGCATGCCAAAAGCTTTTAATATTTCCTATGTCTGATGGCCTGCCTTATATAATCCAACAATCTGTGCAAGTGTCCCTTGTGTCAGAGACTTACTCCTGCCCATACTAATTTGTACATAGCCAAAAATGTCAAACAAACAAAATTTCAGCTAGATCCTGCTTGTATCTGTGTCTGGATGCTGAAACGTGCAGACACGACATCAGGATAATTCGTTGAGAGACGGATGTGTTTTGTGTAGGGTGATGAAGTGAAGATGACTTCATCCTATTTCCTTCCTCTCTCCGGGCAAACACAACTTCTGCGACCACCTCTTCCCACCAATGTGAACGATATTATTGGTGTGATGCAGTGGCGTGGAGTCAATTATAGGGCTGCGGAGGGTTCTTCTTGCATTGCAAAGTTGTGGTGGGTACACAGGCTTGTGTGTTTGTGCCCATGGCCCAGGAGGGCCATGCCCGCAAGGGAGAGAGGTGTAGGACTGTTGACTGAGTCTAGGCCGCTGAGTGAGTGAGAGCGAGTGGGATCAGCGTCCCACTGACCTGGGCAGGCCTAGAGAGGGCAGCACCTGAGTGCCGCGAAATATGAACTCAGCTGGAAAACAGCATAGACTGTCTGTGCAGACAGTACAGGGTGTCTACAATAGTATGTGACTAAGGTAGGTAAAAATGTTCACCTGTCACTGTCATTATTAGAACATAAAAATTACACATTAAAAAATAAATGAGATAAAAAGGTATATCAGCAACACATCTGCAAGTGGCAGCACTTCATGTTGCTGTCAGGTGAGTGACAAGTGCTGACTCTTGCGGCCTTATATCTCTGTAGGTACTGACTCTAGAATTTTTTTTTTACGTTACTTTACGTAAAAAAACTGTCCTCTCCATTTAAAAAAAAATAATTTTTTTATTTACCAAAATATTCGGAGTGCTGGGCGAGAGAACGTAGATCTACGTTTCAACAGTTAAGGGGTTAAAATTGTTTAGCACTTTAACCCTTAAACTGTCCAAATGTAGATCTACGTTTTTTCAACATTTGAAAGTATGTAAAAAAAAAAGTATGTAAAAAAACTTTGATCTACATTTTTTTTTTGTTATATTTAAAAATATGTAAAAAACATAGATTTACTTTTGGAGGACTCGCATGTGAACTTAGATCTGTTTGGACAGTTTAAGGGTTAAACATGATGAAATGCTTAGCTCAACATTGTTCCATTTGGAATACAGTGGACCCCCGGTTAACGATTTTAATCCGTGCAAGAGGGCTCATCGTTATGCGAAATAATCGTTATGCGAATTAATTTTCCCCATAAGAAATAATGGAAATAAAATTAATCCGTGCAAGACGCCCAAAAGTATGAAAAAAAATTTTTTTTACCACATGAAATGTTAATTTTAATACACACAAACTGAAAAAGGCATGCACAATTACATGACACTTACTTTTATTGAAGATCTGGTGATGATTGATGGGATGGGAGGAGGGGAGAGCATTATCTTCTTACTGTTTAGAAGGGGAATCCCCTTCCATTAGGACTTGAGGTAGCAAGTCCTTTTCTGGGGTTACTTCCCTTCTTCTTTTAATGCCACTAGGACCAGCTTCAGAGTCACTGGACCTCTGTCGCACAACAAATCTGTCCATAGAGCTCTGTACCTCCCGTTTCTTCAAGACTTTCCTAAAATGGGCCATAACATTGTCATTGAAATAGTCACAAGCACGGCTTGCAACAGCTGTGTCAGGGTGATTTTCATCTATAAAGGTTTGCAGTTCAAACCACTCTGCACACATTTCCTTAATCTTTGAAGTAGGCACAATGGATTCCACAACTGGCATAGGCTTCTCAGGGTTAGCCCCAAACCCTTCAAAATCTTTCTTAATTTCCATACTAATTCTCACCCTTTTTACCACAGGGTTGGCACTAGAAGCTTTCTTGGGGCCCATGGTCACTTATTTTCCAGAAACACCACCGAAAACACTGTAATAATACGAAATATTCCGAGTGTATGCTTGGATGTTACCGCGGAGGCTGGCTGGTAAACAATGGGACGGCCGGCACATGTGAGGGCACATTGGACGCGTCTCGGACGAAAATCGGTATGCGGGTTTTTAATCGGTATGCGGGGCAAAAATTTTGCGATAAAAGTAATCGTTATGCGGAAAAATCGCTATGCGATGCCATCGTTATGCGGGGGTCCACTGTATATGGAATATATGGGGAGGCCTGGTCATGGACCGGGCCGCGGGGGCGTTGATCCCCGGAATAACCTCCAGGTAACCTCCAGGTACATATAATTTAATTGTTTTTTAACCTGTAAACAGTTCAAACGTATATATACGTTCACTATCCCAGTGCCCCGAATATTTTGAAAAATAATTTTTTTTTTATGGAAATAAAGAGCACATTTTTCTAAGTGTTATAGGATAAAAAAAAATTAGGGTCAGTACTTACAGAGATGTGAGGCCGAGAAGTTGGCACTGGATGCTCCAACCTCCAGTCCTGCTGCTTGCAGAAGTGTTGCTGATAAACCTTTTTTCTATTTTTCATATTATTTGATATAATTTTTATGTTCTGATAATTAAAATTTACAGTAGTTCTTGTCATTTAATAACCAATCTTACTATTGTCTTGGAATATATACAAAGTATTTATAGGTCCCAGCAATGTTCTGGATATGTGGAAGTATATAATAATAATAATAATAATAATAATAATAATAATAATAATAATAATAATAATAATAATAATAATAATTTTTTTTTTCCAAGTCGGCCGTCTCCCACCGAGGCAGGGTGACCCAAAAAAGAAAGAAAATCCCCAAAAAGAAAATACTTTCATCATCATTCAACACTTTCACCACACTCACACATTATCACTGCTTTTGCAGAGGTGCTCAGAATACAACAGCTTAGAAGCATATACGTATAAAGATACACA